AAAAGCTTTGACCTCTCTTCTCTTCTTTAGTTTGTCCTTATGCTTGAGCTCTCCAGTTCTTGTGCTGTACACTTCTGCGAGGACCTGTAATCTAAGAGGGCGGCTTACACACCTCTTCAGCTGAATGCCTCCTCTTTCCGCCTTAGTATTTTTACTGCACACGTTAACCGCTCGCATTTCTAAAGATGAAGGGAATTTGCTTTTCCACTCGCCCTTTCGATCAGTATTATTGATTCTGACTTAAGGCAACACGGTCTAAGGTACATATAGTGCAAATGGGATCTGACAGTCAGGGGTGGCTTTAAAAAAGTCGAGTGTTGATCTCTTTTCTTCGTTATCCTGGAACTTCATAAACTTACATTTTGGGCTGTTCGGAAACAAGCTGCTATGAGGAGCAGCGACCTGTAATCCGCAAGGACAGGACGATGCTCCCTCCTTGTCTAGAGTCTTGTGTAAACATCAGGCTAAATTTGAAAGTGAATTAGCGTAACAAAAAGTGAAAATGTGTGCAACCACACACACACACACACACAGGTTTGTAATTATATATTTGTGGGGACTCTCTATTAATTTCTATGGAAAAAACTCTAATCCCAACATGACGACCTTAACCCCTACCCAGCCCTAACCTTAACCATAAGTAACCAAACAAAATATGAGACTTTTGGCATTTTTAGTTTTTTTGATTGCATTCACAGATCTTCACAGATCACAACATCAAAATAACAGGGTTTTATCACATTTTGGGGGACATTGGAGGACACAGTGTAATGTATACCACAAACACACACACAAACCTTTTAAACATCTGACATGTCCTGTGAAGGTCTCAGCCTAATTAGAGGTGGCTTGTTCTGAGGCGGACTGATTTTGGCAGCTTTTTGGTGCTTCTTTAAGTTTTTTTTTTTTGTTTGTTTGTGTTTTTGTCCCAATTTCCGAAAGCCGGAGAGTGCTGTATTTCCTCCGGTACCATTTCGGCCATATCCTGTGTACCAATATCCCGAGGCGGTGGGAGCTGCCAACCCCGAGGACATCCAGCGGGCAGATGAGGCCTCAGGTGAAGGTGATGGATCTGCCTGGAGTCCCCGGCAGACAAACGTTCCTGTTTTTTATCAGCCTGGAAGCAGCTGAGACCTTGGGTAAGCAATTCAAGGCTCCCACTGGGTGGGGGCGGCGCTCTACGGCCGAATGTTCAAGAACGGCAGGTTGGCACTGGAACGATCCGGGGTGGACCAGCTGCTCCCGGCCACAGCGACTATGCAGGAAACAGGCGAGGCCAAACGGGGTTATGCAATCGGCTCAGAGTTCGATCGGAGGTTGACCGCAGTGTCTGAGCAAACTTGAGCGCTGTGATCGGGCCGCTCCAAGGACGGTGAGAACTCGATGGAACTGTGCAATACATCATCTGCGTTGCAATCGACACATTTATTTCTAATACCGGGAATTAAATAATGAAACACAAATGCATGATTTCCCGGGGGGGGGTTAGTGAATGTGATACCGGCCTTTCTCTACGAGGGGTCTGTACCCGGAACAGACTTAAGGCACGTTGCCGTAAACTGCAGTCTGTTCACACCAGCGGACTGACCACAAGCACTGCTTATTCGGGTCTCTCACTGGCTTCAGTGTGATTTTTCCATGAATACGGACATGAGCACAACTGTATAAAATCAGCCTGAGGATAAATCTTCTCTGTGGGCAGTTAAAACCATTGAGGCATTTAATTTGAGAAGTATTTTTTTATACATAATGTTTTTTTTCTATGCAGCGAAAACGTGGCATTGATTATGGTGGTGGGGGGGGAGGCGGTGTTGAACATGACACGTTGGTGTGTTAAGGGCACGTGCACAGCAGGCCCAGCTCGCGTGGCAGCGTTCTTCGCTTCCTGTTGTGTGAGCCGCTTTTACTGTTAATCCCTCATGCTCTATAGGAGCTCTGGTGATGGAGGCAGTCTGGGACATCGTGTTGGGGGGGGGGTGGGGGTTGGGTTTGCCGGTGTTCTCTTGCATACGGTGTCATGTCCCCTTTTAACTGCGTCCTCAGTGCTGAGCACGCTGGTCTCCGTCCCTCCTGGCTCCCTCCTCTTCCATATATCTTTCTCTTTTTTATTTCTCAGAATTTATCACCCCTCCATTTTCCTTCTGAGAGCTGCAAAAGAGGAGAATTACTCCTGGGTGCTGACGGTCTGCCTGCGAAGCCTAGGGGGTTGGGTGGGGGGTGTGGGGGTATGAAAAGGGAGGGGGTGACCTGTCTGCCTGAACTGTGCCTGAAAAATGGGACTCATCTAAATGCTGCAGAGGGCTTAAAAAATGACTTTAATTGATTCTGACTGTACAAGTCAGATCCAAGATCTCCCTTGGGAGACCTGGAGCAGGGATGCCTGTCAGAACTCATCGGGTGGGGGGGAAGGTGGGTGGGGGGGGGGCTGGGAGGAGATGAAGGAGCCCCTTTAATTGAGCTACACGATCAGTCATTAGCTGCACACCAAGCAACAGGGAGAACTGCAGAAGAGGGAGAACATTCATCTGTACGGGAGAATATTGTCTGAGACACCAAACCACTTACGGAAATTAATACCAAAGGATTAACCTAATGTTCGACTGTGTGGAGAAAAAAATTGAAAGGTAGAATCGATGAGTCTCTCCCTATCTCTGCCAGCTTACCGAATCACCGTTCTACGCCTTATCGCGTGAGCATCGACCATTTGCGCAAGTGAATCGTCCTACTGAGGTGGAGATGAGAATCTCAAAGCCTGAATACAACACTGCAACACATGAGGCAAATGTGGAAGTGGAAATGTGGAATGTGTGCAAGAGTTGGCCTCGGACACTGTCCAAACTGAATGGTTCTCCTCCAGAGGACCTTGGAGAAACCACTACCAGCCCTATATGCCATGCGGTAGGGTGCCTCGCTGCACAGGCTGAACATTGGGCAGCCAACCCTGTTAGTCGTCTGTCTTGGCAGACAGCGTGCTCTACATGGCTGGAAGGCTTCTTTCATTAACCTTATTTGTGAGGTTGTTCTGTAAATATAGGTTACCACTCAGGCAAATGTAATTCCCCGAGGGAGGCATTAACATCCTGTTATCCAACGTCTCGCTGACGAGTCACCAGACTGGAATGGACACAGCAACAGTGTTTTGGTTAGTTTGGATACAGCTGGATTTCTCTATGGTCAAGCTGTCTGCTACTAGGAGCGGCCTCATCTTTTAGCTAGGGGGGTGGTGACTGCAGAAGAGGTAGTGACTTGTTGGGATGCGGATGAAAACGTCTTCTGAAGGCAAGAGAGTGCACTGAATTCTACAGTGGTGCTGCTCTCGCTGTGGCCTGTAACAGATGGCCCATGTCCCTCAGGGGGGAGCCCGTCTCCTGTGCACCATATTGAGGCTGTCGACCATCTGGGCTGCAGCCTGATGAAGATCTTCAGAATTTACACCCCAGCGATTTACAAGGTTTTGCATGCACATACTCTACAGAAACGTGCCCTAGCCTGTCTAAGGAGAGGTCTGGTCCTGTCCAGTCCAACATCAAGGTTTTGCTTGAACAGGCACAAGAGGATAGACAAGGATGTGTTACCAGCACCACGAGTCTAATAACTATCAGTATTTCCAGCCTATCTAAGGAGAGCTCCTGTCCTGTTCTGTACAAAACTGAGGTCTTGATCAGGCAGAACAAGGGGATGGATGGCAAAGAGGGTGATAAGATAGTTGGTGAGTTGGCGCCCAACTGTGTGTCAATATCATCATGAGTCCAATAACCATCAGCATTTAAATGCTGTCACTAGAGCACCATCAGGACGTCTCTGGTCTGATCCCATGTTGCAATCCCACACTTACCTCTAGGACCTCGGTATTTCATCTTGGTATTCATTCCCCTCAGCGCTAAGAATGGGGCTCCATGTTGGCTAATTGACGATGAGCATTACAGCCCTTCTGTCCACCTGCCAATGCCCCCGTAAACACCATTACATCCCTGCCTCGCCCCGTACCGCCTCCATTAAGGAGAGGTGCCGATCGATACCGTTTCCACCTAATGGTGATTAATTATTTACCCAATCATTTTGGTTCCGCAGTGTTCCATTAGCCAGCCCGTGCTTACGGTAGGTGGTGAGGAGGGCTCATCGGTGCTGAAACCCAAATTGGAGATGGGGAGGGTGAGAGGGAACCAGACCTGCAGAAATGTGAGGGCCCAGCACAGCACCATTTCTGCAAAGTTAAACGGTGATTTATGGCTCGGAAGTGACTGCCGGCGCCCATCTGCCGGAGATGTTCTCATCAATACTGTGGCTGAGAGGAAACTGTAAAAAATAAACCAAAAAAGAAAAAAAGCAAGACGCTGACGTGGCAACAAGACTCAGCAACACAGTGTGAGTGATCCTGACCTCGTGAACCCAGGCTATAGTCTCTTTAACATCGGCGCTTTGCGGTCTGCCAGTACTGTCATACGCCACAAGAAAGGCACCATTAATAAAAGGTAGAGCGGGTTGGAGAGCGAAGCTGCCGTGACCTGACCCAACTGCATACTTCATGAGGGTCGAAGGTGCCACCACCGTCTGGACCAGGTTCTGTCCATCAGTGTATCCAGCTGATTGACATTTTTGTATGATAGTATAATTAAAACTGCCAGTCAGTGCCTCTCTTCCCTGAAAACAGAACAGATCTGCAAAGCACTGAAGATGCTCACAGGAAGTTGCACAGAAAACCCAAATTAAGGCACATACAGCGTATCATTGGCCATGGAACCCCGAGCCAAATGAGATCTCCATCCCCTCGTCCAGCACCGCCTTTCATTGAAAATATTTAGCTCAGAAGTCGTGCTGTGCTAATTAAGGAGTCTATGACAGTGCTCCACATGCATCGGGCTGGTAAACACACACTTCATCCATGAACGTAAGCCCCATTCCAGCAACACTGTTTTACTGATGAATAGTCTTCCACCCCATTGGCCACTTGCTGCCACCATGGTGAAACATTCACAACCAATTAACAGATGGCAGATGTATTGCCTGATAATTCCACATTCATGTTTTATTGGTTAAACATATCAGGGAATTGTGAAGGTCTTTAAAAATACATGTTATTTATATTTAAATATATATGCATGTGCTTGCCAGTCTATTAAAAACTATATTACATAAATTAAATATTTTAACATTTAGTTACCCTGTCTTTCTCAGATAGGCTTTGTTAAATTATAGCTACATAAACAAACATACAACTAATTAAAGCTTTTTCACCCGCTAAAACTGAATTTTCTCACATGTCCTATGTACTGAAATCATCAAACCCCCTTCTTAGGTTAACATCCAAATCACAACAGTTGCGGGATGTTCCAACCTTCTATTCATTAAAGATCTGGTGAGGCACGATGCAATCTAATTGGTTGGAGCCAATAGTGTAAGACAATGACATCTGATTGGCTGGAGCTACAGTAAGCAGGTGCATGAGGTTCTGTGAATTTGGCAGAGGGTTGGGCACCCATGTGGCAAATTCCTTGCAAACTGGAAAATGACTCTCTGCTAGCGGTTACACTGGGTTTAAAGCCTGGTGTACCTATGTTGATTGCAAGAAAAAATTTAAACTATCAGTGCTTCCCTGCAACAACTCAACATTATCCCCAGGTTCTTTCAGCTGTAGGGATGAAAATTTCCACACAGAAATCAGGACAGTGACATGAAAAATCACCATTGGACTCATTACACATTGGGTCTCTTGGTCAAAATAAGAGTAAAATGAAACATTGTTATGCCTGATTCTATGAAGTTTCATCAGCTGTTCCAAAAAATGTCTCATTCAAACAAATTCTTTTCCGTAATAAAGTTACAATTTTGGTCAATTGGTTGAAATTAAAAGAAGAGTGAACCTGTGTACTTAAGAACATAAGAAGCTAAGATAATCATAACCTGAACATGAGTCATTTAAAAGAAAAAAACAACAACATTTCTGTCCTTATGTATCTGTGTAAAGGAACATGGGCATGTTTATGTGGCCAGGTGCATTGTGGGATCAGACAGGCCCCATCTGTGAGTGACCCTCGGTGGAAAGGTTAGCACCATCAAGCTTTACCAGCAAGCTGAGCATGGTCAACAGGGAGGGCGGATCCTCGCAATTGTGCTGCCCCCCCCAGTGTGCTAGAAGTTCCTCCTTGCTGTCCAGGGAGGCTGAGCATAGCACACAGTGGTAGGCATCACCAGTCTGGAGTGTTACACTTTTAGGAGGCAACAGCTCACCAGCAGGCTCCCCATTATGCTCCTCATACTCTACTGTCACCTCTGGGTCCCCCCGGTGGTGGGAGTAGATGTGCCTCTTCAACTTGGAGAAAGAGAAAAACTCCTCCCCACAGCTACCACACTTGACCAGACTCCTGCGCTGGTGAGTGGGGTGTTTGAGCGGCTCGTCCTCAGCCTCCTGGTAACCCCTTGTACCTTCTTCCCTTAGCCTTGCCTGAACCTCCTCACCGTGTACATATAGCAGGTGCAGCTTCATGTCTGCGAAGGTGGGCTCCACGGTGTGGCAGCGGCCACACTTTATCTGCAGCTCTGTGCGATCCTCCTTCTCCTGAGTTTGCTCATCCGTCGAGTGGGGGGGCATCACACTGCAGGAAAAACTGGGATATGGAAAGATAATGTTCAGACCCTGTGACAAGCAGAGTTAGGGGGTATGTAACAAAACAGAGTTGTGAGTAATGAGGGTAGCATACTGCTTGTAACAAAAGCATAGGGCACTGTAAGGATAGTACAGTACTATATGTGTTAAAATGGTAGAATGTTGTGAGTAATGAGGGTAGAGCATTGAGTAATGAAGACAGAGTACTGTATTTAACAAAAGTGTAGTGCACCGTAAGTAAGAAAGGTGGAGTACTGTATGTGATAAAAGGGCAGAAAATAAGTGAGGGTAGCATACTGTGTATAACAAAAGCATAGTGCATTGTGAGTACGGAGAATAGAGTACTGTAGGTGTCAAAAGGGCAAGATGTTGTGAGTAATGAGGGTAAGCATACTACAACAAAAGCAGAGAACATTGTGAGTAAGGATGGTACAGTACTGTATATGACAAAAAGGGCAGAATGTTGTGTATAATGAGGGTAGAGTACTGTATGTAAAGAAAGGGCAGGACATTGTGAATAATGAGGGTATAGTACTTCATGTAACAAAAGGAAAGGGCAGAGCATTGTGAGTAATGAGGGTATAGTACTGTACTTCACGTAATAAAAGGGCAGAGCATTGTGTGTAATAGAGGTGTAACGGTATAGTTTTCCCACGGTTCATTGTTTGTTACGGTTTTGGACCACAGTAACTTTACAGTTTCGGTATCTTTGTATATAAGAAGAAAATTAAAACACAACATCCTTTAATTAAACAATGAACTCTTATTTTTTGACAAAAAATGGCAGCATGACTAACTAGACCTAGTCTGTGTCTCTACTGTATAAAGTCAAGGTGAGAAAAACATCAAGCTTCTTAACTCGTAGGTGCTTTGTCTATTTTAAATTGACAGTGTACATAGTATATACAGTACCTGTACAGGCAATTAAATTAAAATATAATTAAGTGGGCTCAAGTGAGCTACCTGTCTAAGCTTCGACAACATGGAAGTGATTTGCCTTTCTCTATTTTATATAAAAAGGGTACATACTTGTATATCACTGTTAAAAAGCAACCACAGGAAATCACAGCACAGTTAGTGTAGATAGACAGATAATCGATATTACAAACTCCACAACCCAAGAGAGCACAGAATGTTTTTGATGCAGCAGACCCACATAAGCATGCACTACCATCCGCAGCTCTAAAGCGCACATGGAAAACTGATGTATGAATTGGCCTTAATGGGGGCAAAAAAACTTATTGTTAAAATGGTCAAGCCATTTTAACAAAGGAGATGACAGCTCTTTTAAAATGAGATACTCCCTTTATTAACAGCCACTATGGGTTTAATACTAATAGTAGCAGAAACAAGAAAACCAAGAGTTTGCATGACACGGTTATACGCTCATGAAACACATGCATTTCATGGCAAACATTACACATTTGCCACATTTACAATTAACATAAATACACAGATATACCTCGTTTAAAGATAAGCGCGGCGTAGTACAAAGCATGCCGGCTGCTGACCAAGCCCACAATGTCACATTATGTCAGCCAATTGTTGACAGTGGGTGGGATCACTGCTCATACAACGTCGAATTCCTAAAACGACGTTGATTACGTTTGAAGTATGTGGCTACCTTTAGACAGAAAGCGGATAATTTACATAATCTGCTGTCGCATAATGACGTTTGAATCCTAGCCCTAGAAAATAAGATGACCCCAGTTTTTTTAGGGAAAAAAACCCCATCTTATATTCGCGCCAGTATGTATAGCATACATGTGTATGTATTGAACCATCAGGAGCATACCGAACTGTTCGATAATATACCGTATACCGTTACAACCCTAGTGTGTGCTGAGGGGAGAATACTGTATGTAATGAAAGCACAGAGAATTGTGAGAAATGAAAGTAGAGTACTGTATTTAACGAAAGGACAGAGCGTTGTGAGTAATGAGTGTAGAGGTTTTTTTTTTTAATTAAAGGTAACACCATTACCCCTCGACAGGGACGTCTTCTTCCTGCTGGCTGACAGATGGCTGCATGGTGAGAATGACCTTATGAGCCTCCCTCAGGTGGCTGAGGTACACCCCCGTGTAGCTGAAGACCCTGTTGCACAACTCGCAGGGCTGGTTCTTGCGGTGCCGGCCCTCGGTATGGTGCAGCTTCATGTGGGTGCTGAGGCTCCCCGAGTGGGCATAGGCCTTGCGGCACACGGGGCAGGCATGGGGCCGCCGGTTGGTGTGGCTGTTCATGTGACTCTGCAGGTGGTGCTTGAACTGGAAGCAGCGGCCACAGGTGGGACAGCGGTGGAGCTGCCTGACGGACAGGTACCCACTGCCAACGCCTGGCCGCTCAGCTACAGGTTCTAAATCCCGGCCGTCAAGTGTGTTGCTGGGGAGCTGGCGGCCCAAGGGAAGCTCCTGTTCCAGTCGCTTGGTGCTGGAGTGGGGTGACAGACCCAGCAGCTGTGGCACGGTATCCAGAACCAGCACTGGCTTTGGCCTGATGCTCCGGTACTTCTTGGAAATGTCCAGAGTTTTCTCCTTGGGCCCAGTTGCTACTGGGTGCAACTTATCTGGTACTCTCCTCCGAAAAAAGGACAGAGACCTCTTCTTCCTAGCCTCAAAAGCCAAGATGTCCTCAATGGTCTTTCTTTTCCTGCCCCTCTTCTTGCCAGCCGACTTCTGTAAGGTGCCGAGCCCAACGCCTGGCAAGCTAGTCCCTTTTGCCTGTAGCTGGCTCTGTTGCGAGACGTTTGGCACTTGCTTTTGGCACATCGCATCAGTGTCCACAGGAGTCCGGTGAGCCAGACTAGTGGAATTTGCAAGACCGCAGTGAGGTCCAGGAAAGCCTTTCTCAGCAGGCTTTGTGCTCATCTTGGCTGGAGGTAAGAGGGAGCTCTTCATCTTGGAGTACGGCAGGATGGGCAACTTCCCCTTGGGCGGTGAGGGAATCACCTGGACCACTTTGCTGAAGACAGCTGGTGAGAGGACAGTGATGCCACCAGACTTTGAGATGCAGGGAGCATCTTGGTTACCCTCTTCCTGTACTTTATCCACAGAGGTGAGAGGTTCCCCAGTAGTATGGTACAGGTCCCCATCCGCCTTGGTGACTCTCTCTACCCTGGAGCTAGAGCACAGGATGCTACTGTCAGACAGCAGGGCAGTGACAGAGATTTCGGAGGAGCCAGAGTCTATTAGCATGACCTGATCTGATGGCTCTGCCTTGGAGGGACTCTCCAGAGATTCGGGGGGCCATGTGTTCAAGGTGGCCGCCCCTGTAGTTGGACTCTGCACCTGCACCGCAAGGGCCTGACCCACTTTCTCAGGAATGTTCCTGCTCTGTGTGGGCTGGTACCTTGGAATAGGCAGTTTTGGAGTTTTGGTGAAGGATGAACATTTCTGAGCCTGCTGCTGTGGTGCAGGAGGTGAAACCGACGGGGGCAAGGCAACCAGAGAGAAGGCACCCCCCTGCCCAGCCATTTGCATCAGGGCATAGTTCTGGGCTGGCATCACGATGGACTTGGGGCCGACAGTGGGTGCGGCATCAGATGGGGTGGAAGGCGTGTGGCAGGAGAGGATGGCAGGAGCAGACACCCCCGAGGGGACTTTCGGGGCAATGCTTCGGAATTGCAGGGCCCTCATCTGGTGAAGTGGTCTCAGATCTTCTGCCAAAACAACTGCTGGTGTGAGAAATGGTTCTGCCATCCTGTACATCAAATAAAGTCTACACACGCATGACTGATTATCAAGAGTGTTTACACCCCCTCCCACCCAACACGGAGCTGTAATGTAACTGGTGGGGGGGGCTATTATTTCCCACACAGCTGGGAACCAGCCCTGTGCTGAGACTATGGGAGTTTTCCTTGTAACCTGAAGGACCATTCTCCTTCAATCCCCCTTTACCTAAGCACTCTTAAGGTGACCCTGAAATGCTAAGCAGTAAAACCTCTTGCTTTGCTCATTGGCTGATTCCTCTAAACTAACCTTTATCGTTTAATGCATGAGTCAGCCTCTTGCTGGGAACACACAAACAAAGGATTATATCTGCTGCATTATCTCTCTCAGAACTATTTTTCTTTGTTGTTTATTTGATATTTATATATGTCATTATTTTATGATAATTTTATTCCTGCATTCAACACACTGTGCACTGTGTATTTCACAACAAGCGATGACTGGATCACCGTAACCCCTTTGGAGTTGCAAATTCCAGTCCAGGTCATGACCGGATGTTATCGGCATACTGGCACGTTCCTCATAACACAGCGTTTGGGGCACTATCAAAATCAATGCGACCATTACTAAACTAGAGAGCACTATTTTTTACACGTATGTAAAAACTATGTATAAACAAAAACAAGGAGAAAAACAGAGAAGAATGACTAAAAATGAGATAATTAGGTAATTGAACTTCTTTTATTTTGCCCTCCCTCATTGATGAGGAATATCAGGAATCATGCAGCTTCAGAATGAAAGTGTATTTGCCTGGGACAGCATCTGTAGATGGAGGACTTTCATTGTGTGTGTGTGTGTGTGTGTGTGTGTGTGTGTGTGTGATGCTGGAGCACTCGAACTCAGTCACTCCAGACGATTGGAATTGATCTCGATCACGAAGTACATTATTCTAGGCCCTGGGCAGTTTGGGGGGTGGTTGTCTGGGCAATCACTGTGGACTCGCTGTGTGGATTAAAAAGACACTCGCATCTGAACCAAAGCCCATCCCTGTCGGCCATGGAAATACACTCCTCTTACGTCAGAATGGCTGGGACAACCTTTTGTGGTCCAGGTGCCCATTAACTAAGACCCACATCGTTTCATCGAAACTGTGCAGGATACTCCAGTGAGGAGTGATGGTGCAGCACACCTCAGCGCACAGACACCCCCCACCCCAAAGGCACTTTATAGAGAGGGCCAAAGATGTTCCATCTCCCAGAGAGATGAAGATGTGAAATACACAGGATTCCTGATGCATTAGCAGCGGGGGAGGCATTATGTAACTTGGCAGGTATGTGATAGTTTTGATTTGCAGCCAAATTTATGCTGTATTCAAATGGAAGCCTGTGACCAGTGTATCCTAAAACATCCCTTTGAAAAATCGGTACAGATGTAGGCTGACTGATAAGATGCTAACCTGAGATACAGTTAGCTTGAAGCGATAGTGACAGGATTTCGTAAAGGAGGACACTTTCAAAGAGAGACGCTGTTTAGCCAGATATTGCTCTATTATCATCTGCCTTAAAGTGCCCCTTTCTGGGATCCTGGTCACGGAGAGATTAGCACTGGACAGATTAGCACTGGACATCGGACCTGTATCACTCGGAACCAGAGCAGTGCTCAGAGGTCACGTGGGCCACATCCACACCTCCTCATGGCAGTACGTGGTCTAGATCAGAAGTTCCCAACCGCTAGTCTGTAGACTATTCAACCGGGTCACAGAACACTGGGCAGGGGTCTGCTAATGTCCAAAAAACCAAATATATTTTCAAGCCATATCTGTTTTATGACCGCTTATGTTTGTAGGTTCAGACCCCCCTCCTCCCTTCGGTAAAATGGAACAAATGTTCCATCATCACCAAGACTGAAAGGTTGAGGACCCCCAGCCTATATCGTTTTTCAGGTGTCCGCTGGATCTAGGCAGTCCCCTGACATCCCTTCCTGTGAGTCTGGCATGTTTAAACTTTCGGACAGGATGCGAGGCATTGTTAGACGGTGATGCCTTTCAAACGTCGCAGCAGACGGAACCTGTGCCTCACCGGCTCGGAGGCTGTGTTCCGTTTCCGCTCCCTTAGGAGGGAAGACTGCCCCCATTCAGCTGGCCTGGGTAACTTTTTACATACTGGTGACAGGCAGTTTTGCAGACAGAAACGCACATCAGTGCACTTCCTGTGCTGCTCTGAAGGCCCTTACCAGCTGGTCCTGATTGATAGCTTTGACACCATAGACTCTGCCTCCACACATTTTGTAATTCCCCGGCGATCTCGCCATGCTCCCACCGGCATTGCTTTTCGGGGACTCGTACTCACTCTGCGCTTGCATTTTTGGCCAGGTGTGATTCATTTCCAGCTTGGCCTTTCCAGTTCGGTCACGCCAGGCTTCCTGCAGAAAGAGGGACGCACACAACAGGATGCAGGAACCTTTAAATGCCACTCATATTTCTGCTTTAAATAAATTAACTTAAAACTGCTTGGAGTTTAGCTGAACTAATGGCAGCCTTGTGGAGCCCCTGCTGGTGGATAGGGAATGTGCTGTCCAGGTAATGTCCTGTGCAGATGATGTTTGGATCAGTTGTAAGACTTGATCAGTAGACATTTACTTTTACATATATTTACCAACATGCGCTGTACATGTGAGGCACACAGCACATTATCAACATACGTGCTGTTGAGGAGACCATAAGGTATAAATGTAAGCAGACTGTTCTTCCAAAGAATGGCCAGGTGTACATGGTACTGCACCAAGAGCCACAAGTCTTCCAAAACAGGAAGGGAGGACATATACGATCCACATTCTCCATAAACCACAGTAATTCCTTTGTCTGATTCATGTCTGTTTCTATGACAGCCAGTTAGTGGGATAATGATGGTCTGGGTTCGTGAGGGGGGAATGGGGTGTGAAAGGACCCCCCACCCTACAGTAACATGGCAGTTTGCCCTCCATGGCTGTTTGTTATGTGTTCCAGGTGTTCCAATCACCCTGCAGATGAGTTGTCAGAGGCCACCCTACCCCCATCCCCTCTCCACTGAGACAAGCATGGGAGGGTGGGCTCCTGCCCCACCCCAGCCTGTGTAAGTGTGAGCGCATACAGCCAACGAGTAGCTCTTCTGGCTTCTGCTCCACCCTTCATATGTACGCACACTAAATCTATCCGTCCGGTGGTTTAACAATAATCACCCACCTACAAACACAGACATACATTTTTATTGCTTCAGTCAAACACAGAAGGTTTATCTTCTCCCTCTGCCGTGGAACGTTATGTTTTTCAGTGACCTCAGACTGTATCTGCTTTTGATTGCTTTTCCTGTATGTGGACAACCTGCTCCCATCCATCCAGCCCCACCCCCCTGGGAGGTTATGTGGTGTGTGGATGGGCTGATGCATTTAGTGGGAGGTGAGTCACTGTGGGGTGGGGGGGGGGGGGGGGGGGGGGGGGGGGGGGGGGGAGGGTGCAGTCTCATCCTTCAGCTGTGATAGATAGGGTTCACCCCCTCCCCCCCCCAATCAGGCATACAAGGTCAATAGCAGACAAAGCTAACCTCTCGTTCACGGTGCTGGACGTGAGGAAACATCCTGCCATGCCTACAACCCCCCCCCCCCTGCTGTGCCTACAAGCCCCCCTCAAAAAGGTGATCTGCTTATCGGGACATTTCTTCTGTCTGGGGAAGCAGGATGCCAGTAAGTCTGGTGATGAAGGTGCAATTTGAACTCTGTTTATGAGGATATGGGTGGACCTGGATGACACTGACTCAAGAGCCCAGTTTGTGGCCACTGGGAAGACGCCTTCTGTGGGCTCTGAGGACACGGAGGGTGGGTTCGGTACACTGTCCCGTAAACAGCAAGCAACTCCAGGGAAAGCTACAGTGAGGCCGGATTATCGTAACGGGCTGCAGCCCACACACAGGACACGGGAAATATCCGCACACAGCAGCGCTAACGAGAGTGGTGGCACATAGCTGGCCTTCCTCCAGGGCCCACGCTGAGGACCATCCCTTCTGCCCCACGCATGATGTGGCCTAAACCAATGTACAGAGGATGTCCTCAGAAGGTGTGACAAGCAAGGCATAGTGAAAGAGTGAGGGCACAGGGGGGATGGTGGTAGAATGGTTAAGGCTGTGTACAGGTAACCTTTACCCTCTGGTCACACATTTCATTCAGTATCATATACTTAATTCATGGCAAATAAATTATTTCTTATATATATATTTGTTTTGGGCATTACACTCATCTTAATTTTACGGTATAGTGTAAATATGTGAGATTTATGTTAAGTTTGTCATCAAAGTATAGACATTGCAAAATGCGGTTTGTCACACTTGCAGAAACATTATAAAAGTACATAGTAAGCAATGGTGCCAGTTTGTTTTGATCCCAGATATCTGATCACCAAAGTCTTGGGTATAAGAAAATGACTAAATGGTGTAGTTGCAACATTCAGTTGGATAAATAAATAAGAAAAACCGAACTCATGCCACTATTTCTGGTCTCCTTCCATTGAATATGTAGGATCTATCCATGAGCCATTCACACCTGCCCACACCCCCCCCCCCTTTTACGGCGCTGATGGGGATGTATCTGGATCGCGTTTCACCGTTGCGTTGTTCATCAAATTACCATGCGAAAGCGATTTGAATACGCGGTAATGCGGCTATTTAGAATGTGAATAGCGATCTTCGGGTGAGAGCGGTACTACACGCCCCCGATGCAGGTAAAACAAAGTAAGGTGACATGGTTTACTTTTTTGACGATTTAACCTAATTTGAAAAACTTTAATACTTCCGACAATGGACGTTTTGAAAAGAAGACAGATTACGGATTTAGTCAGCGTTTTTTCCATGATTCTACATAAAGATTTCAGCGAGATATAAACTGAAATAGACGCAAAAAATATGCTGCATCGCCGATGATGCGCTCATCCCCAGGGGGTTAAGGGGGGGGGGTGGGTTTGTTGTTTCTTGGGCCCCCTCAAAAGTCAATTTTGGGGCCCCTGGTCCCTACTAGTGTAGTGACTATTTATGGCCAGCAGGGAGGCCCACGACATATGCACGCCTTGAGTGGTGCTAAGTACTGCTGCTGCTTAACGCTAGAACTGCCGGTTTCCCATATCAATGAATGTCAAACTCCTTTAATAACCAAGCAGTTCTAGTGTTAAGGATGATGTATCGAGTCATTTGATGTCTTTCTGTGGTACCTTTGAGGGAAGTGCTAAACTGCTTAAGTGAAAACCCAACAGGATAAATTGGTAATCTGTAAATGTTAAAATCTGACCCCAGCACCCAGTGTTTACAGCTCAGATTCCAGCAGCTTGGCGTACAGCTCTGTGAGAAAGCTGACCAGCACCCCACCTTGCAGGCGGTGTCTCCCCCTTTACATCATTAGTGTCGTAATTATTTCAGTGTTTGTTTAATAACCGTAATACTCAAACAAGGTCATTAACAGGAAGATGGATCTACGTTTGATTATGTGACTCTCACCCTTGTTTGTTCGCCGATATCTTTTAACATCTACAGTCCGATAGCCATCTGGTCGTTGCCTAGTAGCCGACAAATACACCTTTTTAAACAGAAATTCCCTGAATCGTCTGATTGATCACATCATCACTGACCACAGCCCAAGGACTGGAAGAGGGTTCTGCCAATAGTTTCAGGGCATTACATCATCATGTATCACACTCGTGAGGGAAGATGACGGATTCCCGGAAGGGTTACAGGAAACTCAGGAGGCCAAAACCCCACCCACCCCCGCAACACCTTTCACTTTCATCCCACATGATTAACCATCCAAGCTGATGAACCGTTGGCTTTTCCAGTGAAGAACCTCTCTAACCTCAGCTCACTGCATGTGGCACGCAGTGCTCGGAGGGCTTCAGATAAATGCACTTCCTACCCTGTGACCCTGACATGCTAAACACCGGTATGGGTTTATGGCAGGTCCAGCGTGTAATCGGAAGGTTTCTGGTTCAAATCTGAGGGTCGACAGAGTGATTTCATCATTGAACCCTTGAGCAAGGCCCCAATCACTGCATGGACTGTCAGATCCTGCACCTTTTGGATTAAAGCATGTTAAAATAAATGAAGTATAGTCCCGCAGGGCAGGATCACAGAGCCAACGAAGTCCACTGCAAATAACAGTGATGGCAAATGCATACTCTGAGTATGACTCCACCTGAGTCTGGTATTCGCCGTCAGACCAGGGTGGGACCTGGGTGTAGCACCATCCACCCTTGGATGCACTCTTTCAGATACACCAGATGGCTAACATACACCCATGTGGTAAGACTTGGATCCTGAACAGCGGAAAAAGGTTTTGGCCTTTATCTAACTGCACATTAATATCAAGACCCTCTCCCTCTTAAAACAGTCCCTGTAAGCCTGTGGTCCATGAGGCTGAATCAGTGTAGTGTTTGCTCTAGACAGCAGGGAGCACCATCGAGGTCACGCCAAACTCCGTTCAGCACAGTCACATGGTGCACGAGGCGTCTGTGTCTCCAGAGACAAAATAATAAACATTAAAATAATAAGGCAGGTCACGTTCCAGTGGCGAAGCAGATGGGATGGGGGGCAGAAATAGGGCAGGAAGTGACCCCCTCCCATCATTGCCCACCTGCTCCCCAAACCATGCCGCCGTGTTCCTAAGTCTCTGGCTCCTACTGCTCATCCATATGGTCAATTCTGCTCCATCTAAACCTCCTTCACCTTTCAGCATGGAGGAACAGTGTCTGCTCTCATAAACACAGCTGAATGAGTCCTTTTTAAAGCTAATCATGTAACGCTTTCAGCTGAGCTTGGCGATGTGTGCTGAGAGCTTAGGGGCCAATACAGAAACTCACCACCTGGTCTACGAGAATGATGATGATTCTACACGGCCCTCATCGGTAAGGGGAGATCAGGAGAGTGAAAAGTCGCTGCGCTGAACAACCTCCGGCTGTTTGGCATTTAATGGGAGCTAAAAGCCAGGAATCAGCTTCTCACGGGATCAGAGGGAGTCTTCTGGGGTTCTGCCGTGTGAATCCAGCCCAGGACTGAACAGGACCCCTCCTCCGACTGGTGGATGGATGGAGGCAAACGGAAGCAGGTGTGCGAAGCTTTGCTGGCTGTCTGGATGCAAATTTTCCAGGATCTGGACATGGAATCGGATTTCGGCATATCAACTGAACAGCCATCCCAGAAAGAAAAGATGAAGACCACCTGCTTAATGAGCTGCTTAAATCAAGACCCTGTTCCTATTCTCACATCTGCCTTTTAACTGGTGCCCATTTTGTTTTGTTAGCTATGGAGAGGTTTGCAGAGTCTAAGTTTGACCC